TATATATATATATATATATATATATATATATATATATATATATATATGCATGTGTAGTAAGTACTTCCGGTTGATAACATTTTCAACTTTGTTCGCTCCGGGACACTGATACGGTTCGACCATTTTCGCCGGTACCCGCCATCCCCGTCCAGACTCGGTCTGCTACGCGTTCCGTGGACTGGAATGACTGAAATATGGACACGTGGGAAATGCAATGCACTAAAACATGCAATCGAGGACCATTTCGGGTGTTTTGTTAAGCTTGTTCGAGTGCCATTCGCTCGCCAACAAGCTACCACAGTTCATGTGTTTAGTGCTACAACAGCCATATTTATTAACAAGCACACTCACACGATGAACGATGTTCCGAGACTCGGAACAACCACAGGGACATCATCGGTTTTGACTAACTGTCTGGTCTAATCGTAATAGATTCGGTTAGAATGCACACTTTATTTTCTCTCACTCGTCGCGAACGAGAACACAGTGTACTCCGGATTATATATTTGTTGTGTACCAATTAGGAGAAAGAAAAAAAACCCGGTATTGCCCGATTTTGTTCAGCTCGCACTAATCAACATACGTTCAATGTCGCGTGGTTTCAGGTGCAAAACAAGCCCCATACAATGTGTGCAGGCAGGGACTTTGAAAGCATGAACGAAAGTACCGGATAGACAACAAAACTGTAGCTTGTTTTTCTTCCGGTGCGTGTTTCGTTTTCACATCAGGTATTACATGATTAATGCCCCAGGTAACGGGGGGGAGGGTATTTTTTTAAAAGACAAAAGACAGAAGAACAAGATGGGGTAATGAATGATCAACTGAAAAAAACTGTCGAGAATTTGAGGACATTGTCAGTTTGACTATAATAGCCGGAGATGANTATTTCAAATCTATGCCAGCATTTTCAACTCTATTTCGACAGTGTAACCCAATAAGCTCGGGAAGAATAAGTGGAGTCGAAGGTAGATCAGTGTACCTGGGCAAAAGTTGTAGTTCATATGCTGCGAGAACAAAATATTTCTGAAGTGTGATAGAGTTGATTCGACTGCCACTACTCCATAGATGCATATACTCTTCAATTTTGTCATTGTACTTCCTCTTCATTGAATAAGGAAAGATACAGTTTTCAGGACGGGGAGGGCGGGGAGTGGCCAATCAAACGGGGCTGCCATTTAACACACACACACACACACACACAGAATGNCGGTTACCCTAAAGACAGTTACCCTAGCTTACTACATCCCCGTTGCGACCGTGTGATGCATGCTGTACGTATGAGACTGTTTCATGTTTTCTGCCAACTACAATTAGAATATTACACTTTTCCCCATGTACTGAATACATATTGGTGTAGATAATTTCCAAAAGAGATGCTACGGTCTTTCACAAACTACCTGGGAGTATGTAGATATGACAAATTAGTGTAATTTGAAAACAATCTACAGTAGTGATGAAAACTATCCTAGGAAGATACAATCTGCCTACTTTAGATATCAGTCAAACCTGAAATACGGGGATGTTCAGTTTCACCCTGTGAAGAAAATATTTCCTAATTGTAATATGAATGTAAGCATTATTGCATATAATTCCAATAGTGTGGGCATTCTAACAGAAGTAGTTAATAGAGTGAGCTGGATTCTACCAGATTCACTTATATGACCCAAACTTTGGAGTGAACTGCCCGTCAAACACCATTTATGATTGGGGAAAAGTAGGTTTCCGCCAAATATCGAAAAGTTATGTGATGAAAAAGTAGTAAGCGGCTTTGTAACTCACTGATTTCGACTCCACCGTTACGACTCTTGCGGTGCAGGATTTCACGCCGGATTTGGATAGTCTAGGTTTGGAGCAGGTTTGGTCTATCACGAAATTATCTGTTTTAATGTGGGAAATCGAAGCTGGAGTTTTGGTGAACTCTTGACTTCGAGCTCTTCGATTCAACTGTATCTCCCGATCGGGTCCATTTCGGTCTGGTCCGGCAAGCCCAAGAGTGATTCGAGCTTTTCGTTCATCTGTTTCAAATTTAGTTGAGATGGATCCCATTGACTGGGTAGACCGTCGTATCTTTGGCCTCCATAAAGTGAATAACGTTGGTGAGGTACTCGGGGTCGCGTCTGTTGCCACCCCTTGTTTCGATTTTACTCTGGCCGGGAGGCGATTAATCACTTTGTGTGGAGTGCGAGGGATCACGGGAGCGGATACACTTTTAGACAACACTTCGCGCTGATAGCCCGGGAGTTTAGCCTGTTCGGGATGATAGAACTCCGGTACATAAGTTGTTCGCAAGTCTACCGATTCCCAGTGCCATACGTTTGGAACCCGCGAATCGCTTTCCCTGTTTGAGCCGAACTGACCCATCGATGTGGTCCTCTTCAATTCACACGAATCCACTGTGGGACGTGACAATTCCAAATCAAATTGGTATATTCGTCGAAAATGTGCCACACTTTTTCGACAGGCACGTTTCAGTTCTTCCGTTGGACCGGATTTCGCACCGGATACTGCGGGTGCCACGGTAGACTTGTCTGCCGCACAAGCAAACAGACAACGTCTGGGAAACATGATCTGATAATTTTTTTTCTATGAGTTTCTTCTCGACATCCGCTTAAATCAAGCTGTTCTGGCTGGCGCGTGCCTCGATTGGTGCGCGGGCCTGGATACGGAACGTTTGACCAATCACAATCGGGCATGTTAATTGCACGCGCTTCCCGTTTGTTCCGCATACTGATTGGCTGCCACGGCAGACGGTAGACGAGTGCGCGCACGCAATCCACTTGCGTTTCGGCCCAAAACACCAGTGTCACTGAAAGCCACGTGGCGTCCCGAAGCACTGCTCCAACCTAACATGTGCGCACCTACACACTCGCAGGCAGATAGGCATGCACTCACACAAAAGGGTGGCCTATGTGATGTGGGTAAACACTATGAACGTGCACAGTGCGCTCTCATTCAAACAGTAACAGGAAAGCGAAACACGTGTTTATCACGGAAAGAGAACAATTCGATATATTGTTAAAAAAACAAAGAGCTGGGATTGTTACATAGTGTTGAGTAGTAGCAGTAGCTGAGAGAATAGGGCATCATATTGTAAGAAGTGGAGTGGAAACTGTGACACCACAAATGACAACAGTTAGACAATAATATAAAAACGTCTATCAGTGACATGAAGAGTAGTACTAATAATGGTAATGAGAAGAAATATTAATAAATGCGTTTACTTCCCTTATTATTGACTATAGAAATGTACGATAAACTAACTGGAGGGGGATTGTGGCTATGCAAATGCCGCCTGGGGAAATGCAGGTCATGGCTGCGGTGGCGGGGATCGAACCTAGTACCCATAGTAATAGTAGCACTGCACAGCCGAGTTTAATTCACAGATAGCGCAACTGCTTCGTGAAGTAAGGAAGCTCCAGATTGGTACAGGGGTAACGCAGCCCGGAGTTCGAGTTCAAATCCGGATAGTACAGTGTACATCCGTACATTGCTGATTAGCTTTAAGGTAAGCGAAACTCGAGTCTATTGCTTCCCGAATGAACGGTTGAACGGAAGATTGAAAATGAAGACTGAGTGTGAAGGAGGAAAAGTTCAAATCAATAAGCTCTATCTCGTATCACTACTTACAAGTAACTGTGAGTTATATACAAAAAACAATTATTGGAGCGGGCCTAAGTTAACGATGAGGCTATGGAACTCGGCTGTGCCATTTCGTTCTCAAAAAATGTGTACTACAAGAAACTATTTCAGCAATCATTCCGCTCCGATTATTTAATTCTCATCGTGTAATTTTCGTGAAACATAAACCAGTGGATTTTGAGATATCCATAAAATTTCTTCATGTTCGTCTGTTCGCTGAACTTACCAACTTGTTTTCAAATGGTTCATCACCACATGAGGTCACATCCGCAGGGCTTGTGCAATGGCGGTATTCTATCCGTTTACTGTTACAGGTTTTTCGTAACCAACCATTTTCTGCCCCTACTCCTGTTATTTTGAGCCCAGTTAGCCGTTGAACTAGCACATGGATGGGGGTGTTGTTCCGTCTGGATGATGGGGATCTCAGGTCCGGTGTTTATCAAATTTGTCAAATACAAGTCCATAAAATTTAACACATCATGAAGCAAATGAACCAAACTGTTAGGAAACGATCTGCTTCTCATTGTCAGCTTTAATGTTCAATCACAGCCATAGTTGTGAGGTACTACTTACATTTGTGAGTAGTATGAGTACACCAAGATCTGGCTGTTGGATTAAAATGGCATCCGTGAGTGAATGTACTGTTGCAACAAATGAAGAGACAAGCAGACTATCAAGAATGCGATTACGGATGAAAATATGTACTAACCAATTATTGCAAACTAGATTTGTTCGTCCTGTATAATCCTATTTACCATTATCGAATGCTGTTCCCTGAATAAATAACTCTTTTTCTAAGCACTGCCTTTTGGATATATAACAGTGTGAAATAGAACCGATATGTCCGACTTGGTGCGTTATCGGTTATGCACTCAACTACCAATTTATTCATATCGGAATGATTTTGCAGTATTTGATCTCCGGGATGCATACATACATTATTCATATTTGAAGTATGGTGGTTTTACTTCGCCCACCTTCTTCCGGAAAACAAGTCAGCCTCATGAAAAGTTAGTTTATCCAGTGTTATTGGAATTCGATCAGCAATATCGTTCTGCTTTTTGACCGAGGACGCAGCTCCAATCTTTTCACGATCAATTGTGACCTGTGATGGGTGTCCTTTAAAATGATACACTTAAATGCAAATCGCCTTCCTAGCAGATGGATCAAAAGAATGTGACCACGTCGGCCATTTCTGCCGGAACTGTTTCACCGCATGCATCGGTGAAACCAGTACTCAGCGTGATCCGAGGAGCACACACACACACACACTCGCTCTGTGGTTTAACCCATCCGTCAAGTGACTACCGAAGTATAACCGTTGATCCATACAGGCAACTTAATGAAGCTACAAGTGACAAGTTGGGGGAGATTAGTGATGAACTGCTTTGCAGGAACACGGCGGATCAGCGGAATACTCAAACGATCCCTATGATCACCATTGTAATCTGACTGCCAACTTCCCAGTCGTGGAATTTGATTCACGTAGGTCGAATCGCATGGATGAACGACAGTCAACTATCCAAGTGGTCTGTCGAACACATTCAGCCCACTTCACAATCCTGATTGAAAAAATTCTCGCGTAAGATTAGTTAGAAGTCGAAATTCGCTGCAAGATAACGCTGTCATTGGTGATACAAATCGATGTTCATCAATCGATTGTTAATTAGTCTTGTTAATCAACATCTACTGCAGGGTGTTTGGCACACAAACAATGTGTAAACAAGCATATGGATAAAAAGACACGTCAGCATGAATATCCGGTTCGAACTTCTCACTCTATCAGTTTCATCAATGGGATTTATCCGCAACATTTCGAGGTTCATCAGAAAGTAAAAATAATATCGTACAAGAATTTGTATCTATCTTTCTGTAATGTATAGTGGAAATCTGTTCGGAAATAGACAAGAAAGAATGTCACTTGCCACGAGCGATTTCGCCTATTCTGAGATAGAAAACAGCATGAGCTGAGCTAATTCGCTGAAAATTCACACTTCGGGTGCATAAAGCCTGGTTTGGTTTGACTTGACATGAAACCAAGATCCATCAAACTTTTCCAGGATATTCGTATTCTACTCATCCTCGCCAGTGCGTCACTCATACGTTTTCCCTATTAGAAATGTAAGGAAATTCATCACTAGTATAACTGTGAGAGTAGGTTACTAAATGCAGAAGTGATAACGAAATGTTACTATCGATTTGAGCTGACTACCTTTCGAACTTCACCTTCACGTACGATCCTCAGTTCATCGATGCAATTAAACACACCACTACTCACAAGTAATTGTGAGTTAAATGCGAAACATCAATCCAGTCTTGTAGGTCCGTTGGTGAATCATTCCGTACCTGCAAGGAAGTTCTGACTTGGTGGGAGGCTTGCGATTGTAGTTAACAGTATGTCATCTGTGTCTCCCTTCGTTGTTGTCGGGCCAAAATGAACTGACTATCACTAAAGCTGACACCTGAACAAATATGATTTGGCCATTTGGTTCAGCCGTGGTATGAACTGGTTGGCACAGTGGTAACACACACACACACACACCTTCCAATTCAGCACAAAAACTGTGATAAATATGATGCTAACTTTTTGTCCTCGTGCGTTAGGATTTTGTATGTATGTATATATGAATAGACAGACACTATTCGATAAGGGACAAAATGAGAGATCTTTCCCCTTGCACACACGATTACAGTTGCTGGTAAATATACACAGTGAAACCCATTGTTGATTGCCAGTTATTACTATTTGGATCATCATTTTCAAACATCTAGCAAAATGCGTAGATGATGAAATTTAGCATGCGATGTAGCCTATCATATGGTTTACAACCGGGAATTTTCAAAATTCAGCACAATTGAAACATATTTAAAGTCCAATTTTGTAAAAAAAAAAGTATTTATCTTGTTCATTGCCTTTCGAGCTGCGAAGATAATGAAGTATAACGCACGCACACACACACACACACACACACGCATACAAGGATAACTCCTGTGGCTCTGTGAATTGAAAGTCACGCCGTGCTTCATAATCAATAGCTATCTATTATTTTTCTCTCCGGAAACTCAATTGTTTTAGATATTCCGAAATTCTGTTTTTCTCACATTGGACAGGTGTTGTGATCCGGGTAAAACCCATCGCAGCATATCGTTAGTGGAAAAATCCAGTTCGGTTTTCTCCTTACTTCACAACTTAGGGAGACTGATATTGTTGTCAAAATCAGGGTTTTTTCACACAAAACTGTCGACTGACCTCATTTCAACCATCATTCCATGCCCCGAAATTTCCCGCACCCAGTCGACCTCACCGCTATTCGGCTATCCCACTTTCTCGCTCTCTATCTCTGAGTCTGATCCCATTTGCAATATTGTCCACAATCTAAGTCGAATTCAGTCACCCCTTCCACCATCCGACTATCAGATCAGATCATGTTCAGCTCAGTCATATGGACTGGTAACCAAGGTTGACCTCTGTTGATGCGATAGAAAAACACACATGCAACGATGGTGTTATCGCCACCCACCCGCCCACACACGCCCAGCCCTCGAAACCGAGGATTGGGCACAAGCAAAGACAAATAAATAAATACGTGTCGACGTGCGTGTTTGTCCGACGTGAACAGATTGAATAATCAGTTGAGTCAATATGAGCAAAACAAACCTGTCTTTTTAAAACAAGTCTCACACATTAGCTGTGACATGACGAGGTTGGTTCGTTGGTTGGTTTGAAGATTGAGCAGGACAAACAAAATAGAGGTATCGATGATGATGATGATGATGATGATGATGATGATGATCGCCTATCTTCGCAAGGTCTTCTTCAAATAGATTTTAGCGGGTGGGTGAAGCTGGAGTCACTCCGGCACACGTGGCATGGCAACCCAGGGGATTGACCTTGCTGAAATCCTTACACCCCCGTAATCTTCACT